CACCGCAAGAGGAAACGGTCCACCCTTGCCTTATCTTTGACCACATCTCATGGGGAGCTCCCCAACCACCTCACCCGTTGAGAGGAAGTCGTGAGCTCTACCCAAATAGTTGCTTAGTTGCTAAGAAGTAGCCCCAACCTGTTAAGGGGACTACTATAAATTACACGCGCCACCAATACTTGGGAGTATCACACTTTTTACCTGAGCACGACTCTCTCTTCTCCTTCAAAGCTTGTACTCTCTACTCCCCACTCCCTTGAGTTAATAAAATACCCGACAACCAAAAGCCATTGAAGAGTGGACGTAGATCAAACTGACCGAACCACTATAAATTGTCTTTATCTCTTAATCTCTCATTATTAATTTTCTTACATTTATTATTCACACTTGACAGGTGGTGTGCAAAACTATTTTGTGTATCATCAGTTTGGCGCCGTCTGTGGGAAAGACTAAATTCTCACTTTTAAACACTCTCTTTGTTGAACCTATGACGATCACCACTAGATCCATGAATCAACATGAGGATAATTCACAACGAGAGGAGGAGGTTGCTCCTCCACCTACTAACCCTATCCCAAATGCTCCAGTTCCAAATTCTCAGCAAATGTTGGAGACTATGTAGCAGCTGGTGGCCCAAAACCAACAAATCCTGCAACTCATGCTCGCTGGACATCAAGGAGCTGCACGCCCTAGGCATCAAGAAGTTGTACACCTTGGGCATCAAGGAGCTCCGCGCCCTGGACATTAAGGAGCTGCACACCCTGGACATCAAGGAGCTCCACAACTTGTTGCTCCCCATTTGGGCACCCATGCAAGTCTGGGCGCCCCCTTTGGAGTCCCTTTGGGCACCCCACACAGGGGAGCCCATCATGAGAGACCTCCAGCTCCTCTTATTTCTTATGGTGAAGACCCTCATTTCCAAGAAGATGATGACTAAAACCAAAGCATAAAGCATGAGAGTCATTTCCATGATCATTCCAGAGGAGCCCCCAATCACTGGGATGAAAAAATTAAGGAAGTATAAAATTAACTGGGTGATGTCTTCAATGCCATGAAGGCGCAGGAACTCGAGACAGTGGACTACCATGTAAGGCGAACAGACACGCCTTTCAAACCTGACGTGGCGAACTACCCCCTCCCTCAAAAGTTTAAAATGCTATCCGTAGAGACCTTTGACGGAACAAAAGATCCACTTGACCACCTCGACACCTACAAGACTCTGATGCAGCTGCACAACGTCCCAGATGAAATCATGTGCAGGGCGTTCCCAACCACATTGAAGGGATCCGCACAACAATGGTTCACTAAGCTCCTCTCAGCCTCCATTGCCTCCTTTGCTGAGCTAAATAGGTCATTTGTATCGCATTTTATTGGGGGGTGTCGCCACCAGAAGCCTGTCACCCATCTGCTTAGCATAAAACAGGACCGGGAGGAGAGCCTGAGGAACTACCTCACTCATTTTATGAGGAGGTACTCCAAGTTGATGAGCCTGACGATAAAGTAACGATGACTGCCTTCTTGGAGGCCTCCGCTCATCCAGATTCCTTTTTTCAGTAATGAAGCGACCACCAAAGAGAATGCCAGAACTATTGGCAAATGCTCAAAAATATATGAATACTGAGGAAATCAACAGGTTCAAGCAAGGTGAATCATCTCGCAGATCACCAAAAGCTTGACCTACCTCTGTACTGTTATCAAACAGACAATCTCAGTATCTAGCTTAGCGACTCTCTCACAAGTAGCCAAAAGCTTGGCCTCTACGTTATTCTCAAACAAGCAGCCTCAATATCAAGCTTAACAACTCTTTCGCGGGTCGCCAAAAGATTGGCTTATGCGCTATTCTCAAACAGGTAGCCTCAATATCAAGCTTAGCGACTCTCTCGCACCAAAAGGTTAGCTTCTGCACTTTTCTTAAACAGGCAATCTCAATATCCAGCTTAGCGACTCTCTCGCGAATCGCCAAAAGCTTGGCCTCTCCACTGTTCTTAAACAGACAGTCTATATCTCCAGCTGAGCGGCTCTTTCACAGGTCGCCAAAAGCTTGGCCTCTGCGCTGTTCTCAAACAGACAGCTTATACCTCAAGCTTAAAGACCCTTTCATGGGTCGTCAAAAGCTAGGTCTCAAAAAGTGTAGCTCTCTCACGAGCAGCTTTTCAACTCTGTTTTTTCTCTTGCGCAAGCATCCTACCTCTCCCTACAGGTAATAATGTGAGATATTTTAATGTTTGGATTAACATTGTTTTTGTCATCACAACCAGGCTACCTTAGACTCGTCATCGTCAAGCCTTATTTTACCTTTGCGCTTCTTATTTGGAGGCCGAGGGAGTAGTCTAGGCCACCATTTGGGAAGTTTTGAGGAGCTTGAATTGGAGGAGTCACAGTCAGATCGTGATAATTAGAAGTAGCACCCAAACCTTCTTTGTCGCGTGCAGTGTCAAGCACAACACTTGGAGGGATGCCTGACCGCTTTTGCTCGTCCAAATGAGGCAACACAACACTTGGAGAGGTGTCTGACCACATTTGCTTGCCAAAATAGAGCAGCCCAATAGCTGGAGAGGTGCCTGACCCTTCAAAATTGTGCGAAACAACATTTTTGGCTCCTAAATCAGCACCTATGGTGCCCGGATCAGCGCCTAGGGAGGTGCCCAGATCTGCCCCTTCACCCGAGCTACTGCCCAGCTCTATTTGGGCCGATTTTTTGCTACAAAAATACTACTGCCCAGATCTCGAAAGCTGCCCAGGACAGTAGAATCTGCGATGCCCAGGGCGTTTGAGCTGTCCAGGATACCAGAAACAACCTCTACACTGCTACGCAGAGCGCCTGGGCTGTCCAGGATAGTAGTGCCAGCGCCCAAGTAGCTGCCCAGCGCACTAGAACTACCCAGATCCGCCTTCTTTTTGCTGGCCATTCCGCCTATGGAATCCACCTTTCTTCTTGCATGCACACCCAGGCTGTGACACGCTCACGACAACGGCTGACCGAGGGTTTTCTCCTCCTCCTCCTTCAACTCTTGCAACTCCAAGGGCCCCAAGACTACCTATCTAAGCCCCAATCTCATCATTCCTCATGGCATCAATGAAGTTTTTCTATCCCACCTCCTACAAATCTCCAATACCCACTTCAAAAACTCTACCCAAGAAATACCAACAAAATAATCTTGAAATACTTCAAGCCTTGCCTCCCTTCTCTCAAATCTTAATGGAATGGAAAGAACTAAGCTCACAAGAATGGGCTCTCAAGTTTTTCAAGAGACGAGTGTTCAATCTTAAAGTGAATGAAATGGGTAGGAGAAGGTTATATTTATAACCTAGGGTTTTTAAAAGAGGGAAAAGTCCAAATTGAAAATTATGGGCTCTCTTAAAAAACCTAGTAAAAGTGAAAAGAGCTTGAGGCATACAAATCAAAAATGCATTGTAGAGGGAAAAAGGTCATCTAGTAGAAGAAGTCTCCACCACTTATAACTCAAGGAGCAAACTAATGCACCATTCTCCAACTTTTTTTGGACAAGGGGCATTGGGGGACAAATAATGGGTTAAGCCCAAAATGACCCAATTTATTTGAAAAACCCAAACTTCAATTGAAGAGCCCAATCTTATAAAAATCCACTAAGCTCAATAGTGTCCAAGTCCAATCTCATCAATTTGGCTACGTCATTAAGAGGAAAAGTGTGGGAGCCTTACCTACATTGCAAAAGAAAATGGTCCACCTTCGCCTTATTTTTGATCGCATCTCATGAGGAGCTCCTCAACTACCTCACTCGTTGAGAAGAAAGTCGTGAGCTCTACCGAAATAATTGCTTAGTTGCTGAGAAGTAGTCCCAACTTGTTAAGGGGACTATTATAAATTACACGCGCCACCAACACTGGGAGGCATCACACTTTTTATTTGAACACGACTTTCTCTTCTCCTTCAAAACTTGTACTTTCTGTCCTCCACTCCCTTGAGTTAATAAAATACCCGACAACCAAAAACCATTAAAAAATGGACGTAGGTCAAACTAATCAAACTACTATAAATTGTTTGTATCTCTCTATCTTCCATTATTAATTTTCTTACATTTATTATTCACACTTGACAGGTGGTGTACAAATCTATTTTGTGCATCATCAATTATTATTATTATTTTTTTAACTTATATTTCTATACACATATATTAGAAATAAATAAATATATATTATATTTTAAAATATATATTAAATACAACAGATCTTCAAGACGCATGTTTGGTCCTTGAAGGAGAGTCAATTGAGATGGCAAGATGTTTTCTAAGCTTTGGGTTTGAGTTCTTCAAAAAACCACCACACAAACAAAGAAAAAGAGAAGCATATCTATATCATTTTTTATGATAATTAAAATGGACCTTTTAATAGAACTTTTGATTCGTTCCAGATAAGGTAGAATAGAACCAACAATCGTTTCGAATGAAAAACAACTTTTACTCATGATGTATAAAGTTGTATGTCCACTGTTAACTTATAACTGTGCTCACTTTCCCAAAAACTTAGTAACTGTTCTCAAGCTTTAAAGTTTTTCCAAAAGCCGAGAGTAAGCGATTCTATTTAAAGACAAAATAGATCAATTGAAAATAGTACTCCTAAACCCCAAAATCTCAAACAAATATTCCAATTTCCAAACGCACATTGCCATAGCAATACATCATTCATCATTGGAACCAGTACCAATTAAGTAATGTCTACACAATCCATGGTATCAAATAAGAAATTGTAAGCCTTCTAGTCATGTGAGGAAAAAACTGGCCATGGTAATCTTAGTAAAACCCCATTCATATTCTGTATGTACATATCCAACACTAAATCAGATTAGAAAATCAGCAGCCTAGAATAACCAAACCAGTTAGAAAACCTCTTCATCAAGCAGTACAAGCCTATTGTCCAGTGTAAGAATGCACAGACATGCATCTTTGCTTCCAAGCTTTATCCTCAAGGGGAATCATACGTGACTCCTAAAAATTTCAAACCATAAACACTGATATCATCTGTCATTCTTTAGCATCTTCGAAGAAGGAATTGGGTATTTCTAGCAGAGAAGACAACGTTGATACACATTTGAACTGTTCCACAAAAGTCGTGCAATTCAATCGGATATTATCTTTACAATAAACTGTCCCCAACAAATCATCAAAAAGTGGATAACAATTTTACCTTATGTTGCTTGTATTTATCTCTCACTGCCATCAATGTGCTTCCTCTTTTACTCAATTGCAAGTCATGAATAATAAGCACACATTCCTTTAGATCATCTGGTTTATATCCTGAATATTGTTGCAGGGCTGAACTCTGTAAAAGTGCAAAACATAAGTATGTATGAAAGAGATTAAAGCAACACAAAATCGTTGAAACCAAATCCTTACCCAAGGATGCAACTTTGGTTGGAGCATGAACCTTGAAAGGTATATAACAGATGCAGCCACCATAGAAGGTAAGAACTTCACACAACCATAATCTAACAAACTCAGCTCTGCTAGGTAGTACCCCAGGAACTCAAGCTGCAAATTGGGAGTCTGTAGAGAACAGAAAACACAAATTAGAACCAAATGGCTGAAGAGAAATTGTGTGTGTGTGTGAGAGAGAGAGAGAAAAGATTACTTTATAATCTTCTTGAGCAATCATGGTGAATCTTCTGCAAACCAAGAGAAAAGGCGACGACAATCAGAAAAATGAGGCAAATTACACCATAGATAAGGAAAAATAAAGCTAGAACACAAGTGCTAAAATACCTGAGAAATGTCTTAATTGTCGGATTTCCCATTTCAAACTTGAGACACTTGAGTACATCAGCCTCCATCTTCACCACCTCTTCTTTAGTGTATGTATTATCAGTGATGTAACAAAAATCCTCCACATGGGGAGGGCTAATTTCTTCATACTTCCTATTCATCAACACACAAAACACAGATCCATAAGCAAAAGCAAACATAAATCGCCTAAAGAGTAACTTCAAAAGCACATCTAGATGCTTACGAGGCAATGAGCATTGAAGAGACACCCAAAAGCCGAAGCCTTTGCCTATTGAGAACATTCATCGATAAGAATCTATCCATATAAGAAACTGTGAGATACAGTGTGTCCGAAAGAAGCTTGTACTCCTCTGCTACCTCAACTAGCCAATCCACCAAAATTCCTCTCATGTTAGCAGTCACATCCTTCTGAACGTTCTCAATGTAAGTAGGCAATGGTCTTCTACTTGCTTTCATCTAAATAACAAACCTTATTTTTATCAAATCTCTGAACCCTAATCTAAAATACCCACCAAAAACCTGAGCCCAAATCCATTATATTTATAACAACACATCAATCACCCAAAGAGAACCAACCGCAAATTAGCCCTAACCCATTTGTTAAACTCCTCAAAAATATAGATAAATTGACCAACGAAAAATTAAACAATTCATAAAATTAACAGTAAACACATTTGATTATTCTCAAAGATTACCTACCCATTTACAATTACCCCATAAAACTTAGGATAGAGACCTCACTCACCTCCATGTTGTGAAGATACTCGTATATGTCAGAAACATAGGCTGCACACATTTGGGGATCATCCGATTTGACATTGATCTCCTCATCAATTTTTTCCGTCACTGTCGTCGTTGTCACTGCCTTCTTGAACTTGTTCTTCGACTTACATCTGGGCTTCGGAGGCTCAGAACCCAGTTTATGAACCTGATTAGCTACAACATTCGACAAGTTCTTAATCTCCCCCAACACCACTCTCTTCTTGTTAGCAGGCGGTTGTTGAGACTCACCCAAAGCCTCTGCCTCTGCTGCCCTCTTCTTCGATAAGCGAGTGACTCTAGCGCAGTTCTCTTGGTTCGCCATTGCTATCCAACTCTCTGTTCCAAGTTAGACACTAGGGCTTTGACTTTCCCAGAACAGAGAGCAAGACAAAAGAAGGGTGGGTTTGAGAGAACCGTGGGTGGTGACTTCCTAACGAATGTGTGTGGGTGAGAGGAGGCTTTGAAGAACACAAGTACCGCCATTTGTGTTGTTTCGAAATTCTAATTTGCGCGCTTTTGATGTTTGTATCATGGCCACGTGCGAGTCGAAATGTGATTTTTGGTTTGTTTTTAAAGGTTTCGGAGATTTTTGGTTTGAGTTTTGGAGTTTGAGCCAACTCCGGTTTGGGGCCAAGACATCATTATTAAGATATGAAGATACGAAACTGCACATTATCTACCACTTGCTCTGCGCAAAAATTCAAGCTCAAGTTGCAAAGCTTAACACTGTTCGCATACGAATGAATCATGTAGCTGATACACACAGATGCATGCATACAGTAGAAAAGAAAACCTTTAGTAAGCAGTCCACCTAGTACATATGATGTCTTGAATGTGCTATAACTTTATGACCACTAAATCGGCATATGACATCAAGAAAAAAGACATATCAAGATGAGAATTTAAGAATCTAAGAGTTTGCTTCACTACAATGTCATTATCAGAACTAGAGATACTGCAGAAAAAAATCCCAAGAAATCAACTGCCTAAATGAAAAGCAGGAAGAACCTGAACTTGAACTTGAACCTGGGGTTATTTGGTTTGTGTTTTAAAAAATAATATTCGAAAATAAATTTTAATAAAAGTTTTAAGGAAGTGGTTTTGATATTTTTTGAGATAAAAAACTTGTTTTGTTAGATGATTTCAAAAACAATTTTACAATACAGAAAATAGTAAAACTTGTTTGGACAGCCTAAATATATATAGTAAAACTTGTTTGGACAGCCTAAATATATATTTGTACAGTAATTCAAATATTAATAAAAAAATAAAAAAAATATTTTTATATTGACAATTTCATAATATATATATACTCATATTTGAACATCCAAAATTGTTCTCATTTTTTTCAAAATTTTCAAAAAAAATTCTAAAAACAAGTTTCACTTATTTTCTGTTTCTTTGACTCAAATTTCATTTTTTCTCAAAATTTAGAGAACAAAAATGATAAACAAACAAGTTTTAGATGTTTTCAAAATTTTGAGAACAAAAAACAATTTTTAAAAATTAAACCAACCATTGCCCTGATTTCGATTTTTGGACTTTGATTTCCCGGTTTGCTTTTCCGCCTAGCATAGCATCTGTCGGCTAGTAGTTTATTTTTGTAAGCAAGAGTTATTAAATCTAATGACGACATCAACCCCCATACAAAGACCAGATCTTCTTCTTCAATCACTAAATTAAAATGTTTGGATCGAACAAAACTAGTATATCTATAATTAGGAGTTTAGGACTTTCAATTGTATCGAGTGAAGTTAATTTGGGTCTGACCTTAGTGAATTCATATTAAAAAGTATTTTATTTATACTCAATTTATTTATTAATTTGTATCTAATGAATCATATTATATAAGATTTCTATCGCGTATAAATTATGTACAACTAATATATAGGTGAATCGTATCGTATATTTTTTTAATTAATTTCACCAATATTCGATTCATTTATTAATAATCATATTGTGTTGAGTTTACTTATTTTATGAAACAAGTGGTTAAAAAAAATTCAAACCTTTTAATTTAATATTGTGGTTGTTTCTTGTTAATGGAATTTTGTCATACTTTGATACATTTATCTACAATGCATTGGAGACAAATTATAAAAGTAATCTATTTACCTGATTAATAGGTCACACTACCAAGTAAATGACTTACTGTTCAACCAGTTAGAGAATTAGATTTCACGAGATTTATTAGAAAATTTGTTTAAATGTTAACCCAATCAATTCTAATCACCTAGCTGACTTTAGTGGAGCATGCTAAATTTGATAATATATATATATAAACACGTAATTAAAATTTTATTGAGTTGAGTTTACAAATACATTAGAACATGAACTCATTATTTCATTTCAGCTATGCCATCCATTGTTTATCAATTATTCGTAGTACCATGATTCGATGTTATTATATGACACGGTGAGTGGAGAACGATTCTTGGTTTTTGAAACCGAAGACGAGTCAAAAAAAATTAGATGAACACCTAACTTCTTCCTTCCAAAGTTTAACTCAGTTGGTGAAGTAAGTTTTAGGAAAATGTTCGGTGTTTAGTCAATTTTTTTTACGTACATGCGTGGCAGTTTGATAAGGTATTTGTGCATGCTAATTTTTGCACAATAAAAAAATCACAAACAATCTTTATTTTGGTAAACACGTGTTCGTCAAAATAATGGATTCAGTCACAAAAAATGCGTTCAGAGGGCCAAAGGGGAACTTTAGGAATGGTGATGAATTGTCCCTAGAACCGCTGGACCGATTCGGTTGGCTTCACAAGGGATCCCTGGAACACAGAAAATGGGTTAAAAGGGCATCGAAGTATTTTTTGATGTATCCTCTCTGACGATCAAGTCAATTTTTTTTAAGAGAGAAAAAGAAAACACTCTCTGATGAGCATTTAATGCTTTAACTCCTCGACTTATCAAGCCATGGTAAGTGTCTTATCAACTGATGTCATATTAAATGTCTGTCTCTATTAGCTGCATATCAACAAGGTAGACTTGTCTTTTTATCCCTTATCCTGTACTTTACGCCACTTGTTTGATTCCCTCTGGTTGAATGTCCAATCCAATCTGTCATTCTGACTATTTTATGCAGAGTATCTTTACGATCGCTAGTCTAGCTTAGAGTGCTTAGTTATCAATCACTAGTCTCCTTAAAAGTCGAAGATCCATGACAAGGTTGAAGAGAGTACCCTCAAAACCGAGGGGATACACCTTGAAGCTGAGGAACATGTGTTGGGGCAAAGGGGGCATGCGAGGTCAAAGGGAGTACCCTCGGGACCGAGGGGACACGTCTCAGAGCCAAGTTTTAAGCAGGGAGCCTTCGGGCCGAAGACACTTGTCGCTGATTTAAGACCTTTTTAAAAATATCTCATTAGTATTTGTATTTTTAAATATAATGATGTGACAATCACTCAGGTATAATTCTTAGACTTGTTAGCCTATGACCTATGATGAGCACAATAAATATTATTTTATTACGCATTTTTAATATTAGGCGACGAAATGTTCCAATTTACATACTTGACTCTCCCCGAACATTCATCGCTTTGTCCCATCCGTAGGCGTCCAATAGCTCCGAACATTAAACACTATCGTAAAATATCTACAGACCATCATTGAGCATTTAAGAATACGTCCCGAGGACACCCTCATGTCCTCCCGAGGACTTCCCAACTCAGTCAAGAGCCATACCCCACCTTGACGATGGTTAAAAATAGTTCTTCTTTTAATGGGATGACGTTGATTAGCCTGTGACTTTTATGCTCTGCGTGGAGCCTGTGCTCCATATATCAATTAGGATGGCACTAGAATTAGCTATGTTGTCTTGGCTCGGTTATCCCTCAGCCTCGGCTTGAGGAGACTTAAGCCGATGCCACTTAGACACATGTCATGCAATAATTGGACTGTCAACATCCCAAAAAAAATAAAAAAATTTAATTATTTGAAAGTGTAAATTATAATTCACCCTTAATTTATTGATTTGATGACATTTATGAAAGAACAATGTTATATGAATTTAAAAATTAGATTTGATAATTAGAATAATTGATTTCATTGTGGGTTCCAGTATTTATTGGAACCCACTACCTATTCAATGATTGAGATTATCAAATCTAATTTTTAAATCCATTTAGAATTATGAAAAGCTCATTGAATTTTTGTTTCCACTTTTCTAGTCAAAGAATGCATAAAACACAAGTGGATTTTTTAGGTGTCACTACTCGCTACCTCTAGACTTCAATGCCTCGACCAAATCTTTTCAAGTTTCCCTAATCTATTACCAATCCTTCTAATATCGTATTGTGCATATTAGTATACGGCTAAACCAACATTATACAATAGATAGAGTTACGACATAATATTTTAAATGAATTTTTTTTTTTTTGGGGTGAGAGGGGATCAGGGGTTCAAAATACATCGTCATCAACAACAAAAATTACCTGATTATAATCAAATGAAAAATTAATGATGGCATGCATGAAACTTATATAGATTTTAGAGGACTTGGATCCCCCGATTGATGAGCTTTTCCTTAGCACTTACCATCGAATTTGAATCCGATTTCAATGAGGCCCGCCCCAGCCTAAGCAACCAAGCACCAAAAACATTTACGTAACATCCATAAGTGCTACAATTTTTTTTCTCTTGGTGGGGTGTGCAAGACATGGAAATTTAGTTGGCCTTCCATCCGAAACTAGACAGTCAATGTAGTGAAATACTATAAATCTAGAAATCTCACTGTCCTAACCACTCGACAACGCACTTGGAGAAGAGACGAGAACAAACTATCAATGAATAACATATATGGAGAGTCATGTAGAAATATTTGTAGATCATCTTGATTCATAATCATGGAGTGAACTGAGACAAAAACAGTTCAAGAAGAGCTCGTTCTCTGGGCTGTGCAGCTAGAAAGGAGGCATTCCCTGCCAACATATATACTTTCATTTGTCACAATAATGCATGCATCAACTCTAATAATTGGTTTCGATTATCGTATTTTTTATTTCAATTCAAAGGTAAATAATTTACTCAAGTTTAAAGAACACGTAAGAAAACAAAAACAGGAATCGTAGCCACTAAAATAATAACAAAATATTCATTGGTGACGAGGTAATTAAATAAGACCAAGTAAGAATTTGCATGGTTAAACTAGTTAACAATTGAATTTCTCGGAGCTCATTAGCATTACACACTTGATCCAATATATGGCATATATATATGTGTGTGTGTTGACTTAATCTAGCTATAGTGATCATTGAATTGACCTTGAACTCCATTTAATAGTGTGATCCATTGCTAATCCAATGAGATTAAGAAATTAAGTTCAGGTAGGACTTATCAAAGAGGAGTATGATAAGATCTTGTGAAAATATAGGATCATGTCTTTTTCTTGTGAAAATCTATATTGATCTAAAGTGTCTAATTAATGGTCATTCCCAAACCAGGCGACTGAAGGCCTTTGGCAAACTCGATCGGTATTTTTTCATGGCAAATAGTTGAAACTTGCACTTAAATGTGAAAAGAAAAATAAGCAACGAGGAAAAAACAAAGAATAGAAAAATAAGCAAAGCAAAAACCTGTGGGATAATATCCTGTCCAAGGTGAAAGGTTGACGTCCAGAACTTGTCCAAATTCAGGTTGCTGCATGTTGTTATCTTCCTCCATGCCACTGCCTGGACACGTATGCTGATCTTCAAGACGCATGTTTGGTCCTTGAAGGAGAGTCAATTGAGATGGCAAGATGTTTTCTAAGCTTTGGGTTTGATCTCTTCAAAAAACCACCACACAAACAAAGAAAAAGAGAAGCATATCTATATCATTTTTTATGATAATTAAAATGGACCTTTTAATAGAACTTTAAACAAAGTTCAAATTAATAAGCACCTCTGGGGCAGAAGACCATTGGAATCCAAAAAATTTAGGATCTGGGCTTGTGGATCTCTTTGTGGAAGCCATCCCAAGATATCGTTTGCATTGCTCGCGCTGAAACCATCAATGTTTACTGTTTCTGAAGGCAGATTTACCTAAATGCATAGGCAAACAAAATAGGTTTTAAAGGCAGATGTACCTTTAACTTCTGTTCCTTCTTAGCAACACGTTTACTCGTAAATACACCTTTTGATACCAAAATCTTATCCTAAAGCATATGAAGATGGCTTTACATGACCTTGTGGTGAAAATGGAATTGTAGTAAATGAAAAAGAAGACTTCTACAGACCTGTGAAGTTGGTTGCGTGTCTGGTGAATTATACTTCTCCTCCAAAACATTCTGCTTATAATTGATAGGAAAGTTCATAAGATTCAGGTTTCGGGTGGATCATAATTCGTTCTAAAACCAATGTGAAGTAATTGACGATCTTATGTACCTTGCGTAGACGGACATTTTTTAGAGTCTCCTCAAGGATTTGCTCCCGGAATTCCGCCTCACACAACGTTGTGATTTCAGAAGGATCACCTTCAAATACCCTACAAAACATAGAATTATTATAGTTCATGCCTGCCAAAAAACTATTATTTTCACTAAAAAAAACTACTATTTTCATTTGAAAACTCGTAGACATAGGGTTCTGTCAATGATTAGACGCTAAAAATTAAGTACCTTAGTCGTTTTTCCTTATCCTCCAATTGAGTTTTGCATCTCAAGATTTCTTGTTGGATTTCCTGTTATATAATTCATGCAAATTGAATATAAACAATTAGCCCATAGCTTTTTGCCAAGTAGAACTTCTTATAAATTAATGAAGTACCTCAAGTTGAGAATCAACAATAGCTGGGCTGCTTCACATAACATGCAACAACAAAATAAAAGTAGTTAAGAAAGAGACAAGCTGTAGCTAATTGAAGACCAAATAACTATATAATTAAAATCCGCCAAGAGAGAGAGAGAGAAGAAAAGAGAGAAATTGGAACAAAATCACCAAACTAAGCTAAGCAAGGAACGGTTTCGGAAAGAAAAAGAAAATCTGAACCTCACTGCCTGATATGTTCGATCAGCTTCACCTTTCAACTTACCAAGAGCTCTTTGGAGATACTGCAAATAATTTGATAATTTATCACTCCAAATATATCCGCTTCCACGATTTAAATAAGACCATCCCTAATGAATATGATTACCTCTTGGTTATGCAGCCTTTATTATTTGCATGGAGCCAAAAAAATTCATTCATGTGAACAAAAAAAACTATCAAACATCATCAGATTCAGCATGATAAAGAGAATATCAAGAAAAAAAAGAAGCAGCTCTATTAGAACCAAGATGATCTTACCGCCCCCGCTCGTGCTCAGGGAGATTCACATACCGTGCCATAATCTCTTCAATTCTTTCACAGACCAAACATGGATGAAAAAAAGAAGAGTTAAATAGTTGAAGTTTTATTTAATAGCCAACATAAAATTGGGAGACCTAGATAAGGAAAAATAGGAGAGAGGGTAGTTTGAGCCACTATCACCTTTTATTTCCAGAGAATATACTGACCCTTCCAGAAGGGGAAAACATGATGAGAGCTACATCAACATCACAGAGAACAGAAAGTTCATAAGCTTTCTTAATTAGCCCATTTCTCCTTTTTGAGAAAGTGACCTGCCTATTAGTTGTGTTTTCAATCTTTTTGATTTGAAGCTTCACTCTTCCCATCTCTCTCTTCCTCTTGAGATATGTTTCCTTTGAATCCTACACCTTTGTAGGAAAAAACTAGGAGTACAGAAAAAGAAGATCAGATCTGACTCTCTTGCTGATAAACCTGTTCATGAACCCACATGAATAATTAAATCTCTGTTGCAAACTAATGCAACTATTGAATTCAATATTGAGGGTGAGAACGGAGGAAAAGATGGTAGGAAGGAAGTAGATTAGACAGTAGTTTTTGTCACTGTCAGGCCATTCACAGAAGATGACGAGAGAAGAGAGAGAGAGAGAGAAAAAGATGGCGGTGACATTGCCTGCCTAGCTAGTTTCGGATCTTGAAGGTTGATCATAACTCCCCATCTTCCCAACCCTCCTTTTAGGGTAAGAGGGTCAATTGAATCGAAAGATTTAATTAAATAATTGTGGGTCCATATGGTGTTTTGTCATATATATTAATATTTGATCAAGAAATGAAAAAAAATATAAATTTCTTCTTATTAATGTAGTTAAACGAGTAATTTGTATGCATTTATAATATTATTTTAATTTATTAAAATATGGTGTTAATCCAATGATTTTAATGAAATCTCATTATTATGTCAATAAATTAGATCAAATTTGACACTAATCATTAACCATATTGTCCATTGAACTCATATCAATATGCTTATGAAAGAAATATGTCAAGCTAAAAAGGTACATATTCTAATTAAGTGATTTCTCCAAATTCCTATAGACCAATGTTTGCTAGTAGGCAACAACCACCAACAAAATGAAGATGGCTTTTCCGACTTCAGATTCCTACCATTTCATTAGACCTTGGAGCTAGGAATAGATAGAAAAACAATCAAATAATTGTAATATATAATCCTATTTCTCTAGGCTCATGGGCATATGATTTTTCTTCCGTTAAAATTAGAGATTGTTTTATGTTTACGCAAGTCTATCATCATTATAATAAATAACCAACTGGTATCACTTTTCATATACAGCCAAGAAAACACCCACGAACAGTAAAGGGGGACATGACGAAACAAAAAGAGAGTAGGACGAGAGAAAAAGTAAGGGGGTAAAATGGACTGAATGTAGAAGTTCTGGGGTATCTTATGTTATTTACCATAATCTTCATGTATCTAATTAAGAGACGCACGTGGACCCGGATAAATCCCAGGTTTCAAGCAAGCAAATAGGACACTTTCGGTTTCGGGATTTTTGTTTTGGTGGCGGGGTTAACGAGGACGATACTCTCCCTGCTGCCACATTAGAGATTATAAAGTGCCACGTGTCCTCATTTCCCTTCGTCTTCTCACAATTTTTTTTCCCCCTAAACTCTGCTATCACTCCCACGGCTCTCTCGCAGGTGTAGGTGTGACTCATTCGTCATCTTGGTGGCATATCTGACCACTGTTTCAGAGAAAATTTTCTGTGGGTTGAACAAACCACTTTGGCAGTGCCAAGTAGTGTACAAAGCCCATCAAAACGTGTACACTCCTAAGAAAATTCGTCATTCATCACTTTGCCTGAATTTTTTTGTGTATGACATGACAGTTTTTCATTGGTTATGCACACTAATTAACACTATCAAGTAATGTGTTAAACTTGTACAACATTTTCTAACTGTTTTAATTGGTTTAATGATGGAAGCCCATTCTTCGTAATACTAACCACATTTTTAATACCTATTTGCATTTTAGTGTGTTTGGGTTTATTTGATATGAGAAATTTAGGAAATGAGTATATTACATCTCTAATTCGTAAAGTTAGTTCAGACAACAATTATCCACATCCCGTTATTAATAAAACACTACTAAATCACAATATCTTTGCTTAGTATCCTAAACACCCATTACTCCTTCTTATATATAGTTCTGAAGGAGTTGGTTTCGATTGCCTCGTTTCTCTATCAACTTCTACTCATGATGCCAGATCACCATTTGAATGATTGTCAGGCACCTGGAAGTCTTCCACTAAATTCTTATTCCATCATTGCAACGAAAGCAATGTATTTGTACCGCTTCTTTCTTTTTTAAGGATCGACAGATATAAATCCAAAAAATCATTTTTTTTCACCTTTACCTCATTTGGTTGACGCCTTTCTAAAGATCTCCCAGGTGTGGGCAAAGCGGGCGAGACCACTTTTGCAGGTCTTTTTTAAGAAACAATGGAACTCGAATGTTGTCCCCGTTCTCCCATTTCTCATTCAAGTGATTGGATCATATATATTCTGTTGCATCAAGAGCTTTTTTATATTTTTTTATTAGAAATAACTGCATGTCATTTTTTTTCACGAGGGAGGAGGATGTAAGGCTCCAAACTTTGTCACCAGACCCAGGTGATCTAGTGTTAGAAGACAAAATTTGATGCCCAATAATCTCTTGAAACTTAACTCCAAATTTTATTACCACTAATTTTTGCACACGTGTATTATTGCACGTGGACTATTTTGAATATGAAGTACAAAATATAATCAACGAAGTGCGTTTGTTACAGATTCTATAAACTAATTTCTAGACTATTTTTTGCATAGTTAAGTGTGAGAAAAGTTGTTTACATTTAGTTTCAAGATTAATACAGGAAGAATAAAGTAATACATCTCAAATGAATTTACCAAATGTGGCTACCAAATGATATCGTAAAATCTTATGCTTTGAATGTTTAATCTAAGTAAGTTCAATCCACTAACCTAAGTATAACAATACTCAACAATGAAACGTGAAGCCCATTTTTCCAAAGAAGTTGTTGAATGGAGCACTTTGCATACATAACGATAACCTTACCAAATTAGAATTTAAAAACCTGATGTCGACTGTGATAACCATCTCACCATTCCTTATCTAGTAAATTAACATCTCTCCTAATGAATAGCTCATAGCCGAGCTACACACTGAAAGAAAGGAACATGGCTAATGCATAGAGATGACAGAACACATGGCTCAATTGCATTACAAGAAACTCTAACTACGACAAACCTTTTAGGTGTCGGTTATAATATTTTTGCCCACTATGAATTCTCAGAAATTTTTTTACATGAACTGAGATGTTTCTTTTTTTTTTTTTGGAAAGGTTCCCTAAAATTCTTTTTTCTTTTCTAAAAAGAAATTTATAAAGGCTACTTGTGATGATTAGAGATTACTAAACAAATGCTAATTGTACTGCCTATAAGCTGTGATATTGCAACCCCTCAATAGTGTGTGTCAAACAGTTTATAGGAGTTCCTCTTAGAATATAGACACAACGTATGAAGAAAAAGTTCATTTAAGTGATCAATTTGCACTCCTAAAGTGCTGCTTCTAGGTGATAGTAACTTGCAATAAGGTGGAATTCAGACAAAGTTTGTTTCCGAAAATGCTAATAATGGAGTAAAAATATATAAGCTTGCTCCAACTATCGCATGAAACAATTGATTGCTAAATGGTCATAACCATGGCAAAACTTCTAGTTATTATCTTCCCTAGGCTCAGGCTTATGCATCACAAGTTGCTGAATCGTGTACTTAAAAAACAAGTCAACATATATAGTTTCCTTTTCAAAAGAATCTCATAAACATTCACTGCACCAAATTTTACATAATCGTACAAAATATTATTATCAAGAGTCATTTTACTCAACAAAATATGACTCATGGCCAATATTTAGAAGCATAACCCATAATTGAAATCATAAGTAAAAACAACACATTGGTAGAATCTGCCAACTTATTTGTTCGAACTCATATGTAGGAATAGAATAGAATTCTCCAGAATTCAGACCTATATGGTACGTAACATAATGTTTAAGTAGTTATTAGGTGGTGAAGCAGTTGTGGGAGTAAGAAAAGCTTCTATAAACATAATCATAAAGATATTCCAGCACACCCCACATATTTACCAAAAAATCAACCTCATTATGTTTGCTTAATGGAAGTAGCAGCCAACATCATGGATGCGGATTTTGTGATGCCTCCTTCCAGCAAAACAATAATTCAATCAAATTATTGTATGAATGACTCTTGCCTGAAACTTAAGGGTCAAAACAAATTAAAACTTAAAGGATCTTTAGTTTCTTATGGTGTTGAATATCAATAAAATTAAGTATTCAAAATCTGAAATGTACGTGAAAAATTTTAACTGGCCAACATTTAGAGTAATTGTGCAAAAGAGCACATGGTAATATGTTCCACGTTGAAGCATTGAATCACTTTCAAAATTTGTCCTCAAACACCTGCATTGTAGAAGGTGTTTCAGCTCTATCAAAGTTTAACAAAGAGCAATTAAACAAATGGAGCAATATTCATGATAGTTGCGAATTCTAGTAAGGCTGGTTTTGAATTAATGATTTCAGACTATATCCAAGTTAAACATTGCGAAGCTATAGTGCAAGGATCATGCCTAGCCCATGCAGCCACAGTTTCCTCCATATCATACAATGTCCTAATCTAGTGATAGAATTGACAACACATATCATATGGTGTTGATCACGCGTAGACAACATCTGGCACAAAATTTTCAGGCTGACTCAAGTTTTGTAACAACATTAGTATTGCTACCAAGCCTCTTTCTCAACTAACTTAATACAAGTATCAATTAGAAATGACTCATACTTAAAATAACAAGAAAATTTAGCATTAGATGTTCTTAGACAACAAATAAAAGCCTATTTCTTTTCTCATTTTTGTAATTTAACAAAAAAGTGAGAGCAACATCTAGCAATTTCTTATACAAAAAAAAAAAAGTAATTGTGCCTTCAACTCAATATTCAAAATCAATGATAATTTTAAATCAACATGCAATTCTAGAAAGCTATTCATCAAGAGTTGAAAATAGCAGAATACAAAATATGCGCATCACACGATAGTGTTTATCGCTCTGCCACTTCTTGCACAGTACAGGCCTTTCAGTGCCAAATTTGTTCCAAAATTGTTCACACTACATGCGCATAAGGTTTAAGATTTTAAATACCATTCCATTGTTCAAATTTATGAACCAAAGTTTTAGAATATTTCAGCCAATAATCAGAAAATCAAGTGCTCT